AACAATTCAATTTGGTTTAATAGGGATTTTTCAAAGTTAAATTCATATATTATCTGTTCAATATTCAATATTCAGTTCACATCTCTAAATGGCGCTAAAATCGTTCGTTCCTGGTTATTGTATTATAAGATACATTAAAAAAAACTTCATTACATCCCGAGCCAGAATACCAGACTCTTCCTTATTACTCGGCTCGATAGTCTATCTCGATTCGGCATTGAAGATATTTAAAAGTTTGTTCGATCCTAGTTTTCATGAAGATATCTTCATTATCAGATCTCAGTTATTCGGCTCTAGTTCATGTGACTCGTAAATTTTTTAATTGACAATCCTTAATGTTAACAGTTAATGCTGAACAATAATCACACTTATTATTGTCATCATAAAATAATTATTATCAATTTCGATTGAAAAATAATATACGTCAATTAATAGATAGATGATACGAATTAAAAAAAATGACGCGCGTAAAATACAATAGAGACAAGCTAAAAATATATATATATATTTAAAATTTGAATATGTATAAACAAATGTATTTGTCAATTTTTAATTAAATATTAATAAAATTTAATATAAATTTCATTATCATTGCAGGTTATTTTAAAAAATGTCAGAGTTAGACCAATTTTTGTATTTTGCATTCTTGTCTGGGTTAGGAGTTGCGATATTTTATCACAACTCATCAGTAACTTTAATTCAATATTATAAAAAAACTCAGACGACATATTTTCTTAAATTGGTTTTCAACTTCACTGGTGTCCTAAAGTATACACTTAACTTCGTCTATCTTTTAGCTTCTGGAAGTTGTGAAATTCTCGGATATATAACTGCTATCGTAGACTTTATACACCGGACTTCCTTAGCATCTTTCTTACTGTGGAGGTTAAAAAAAATTAATCAAGTCGATGAAAATCGTATGTTGGATAACGTGATAAGCATAATGTTATTGTTAACAAGAACTTTGTTCCAAGTAATGTGTCAAATATGCTGTAATTATAATGAAATATCGTAAAACAGGATTTCTAATATGCATTTTAACATTTTAGTTCTCACAGGTTTTGTTTCTTCAGCCAAGAACCACCTTAAATTCTGGTAAAGAATTCCAAGTTACATGCAATTCTGCATTTTATGAAAATCGTATCGCAGTTTTAGGCTTTATAAATACTGACTTTGTTATCGAAATATTTGTTGCTTTTCGATTTTTTCAAATTTTATTAAAAGGGAAATACTTACATAGAGATAATTCTTTTAATTCTTTTATCTTGAATAACTCGGATAAGGTCATTAACGCAGTTCTTTTCTGGTTTATTATATGGGTTATTTTAGCCGCATTTTTAGATATTGTTAGTATATTAGATACTTTAAACGTGGTAGAACCAAATAAGTTTATCTCCAGAACTTTAAATTTAGTTGTTTGTGTAGCAATGTCTTGTGTGATAACTTTAGACAGAGAAATTATAAAAGCATATTCAAGATGTGAAAATTCAATATGATTTAAAGAGAAACAAATATTTGCATTATCGATCATTTATAAAAAAAAAAACACAATATCAACATGGCAGAATTTTTAATAAGCAAATTCTATTGTCTAGAATCCTAATTCACGAAAAAAATTGTTAATTGTGAAATTCAGTAAGTAGGAGGTATTTATATGGAGTGCGACAGTATAGCATCCTCAACGACTTTTTTAATCTTTTCTATGTTGATCATTGGTTCATCATATTCATCATAAACGATTACACTATTAGGTCTTCGCAAGGCATTCACAATTGACTGAACGCAGCTCATCAGTTATTCCAGACAAGGATATATTTATTACTTTAACAATTATAGAGTCTGATGCGGAAATTCGATCATCCATTTTAAGAAAGTGAGTGAAGTTATTTCATCTTTATTTATACCTTTTTTTTAGATTGCCAGACGAAAATATGAACTAGCTTGCTCTTGAATTCAAAATTCATCGAGATATAAGTTTTGAAAAATTAAGGGATTAATTTTTTTAAAATGTATTTCTATAGCTTCGTATAATATGTTTCGCAATATCACGGGATGATCTACAAAAAAACAGCCAATTACAATGAAAGCCCGCTATACTGCAATTTGACCTTTTTTTCTTATTTTTATTTTTTTTTTTTATTTTTGATAATATTTTGCATGCATTAATTCTAACACTTGGGATTAAAACCACAAACTGTTAGTTTATTCAAGTAAATAAAAACTTTTTTTAAAAAAAATAATTATATATTTTATTAGACATTATTTTCTATTATACTAGACGAACTCATAAATTCTGGATAACCGATATCCTTTTTTGTACTATTATTGTTATTAAAAAATCTATCACCAATGCAAATAATTATTAACATTAAAGTTAAATACATCCACATACAAATAGAATTTGCAGCTCGAATTTTACACGCTGTTTCGATTATCCAAAATGCATATGGATAATTTGATGGACAAATAAATGGGATAGGATTAATATCGTGTATAGTTCTGATTGTATAAACGACTTTTAAAATTAAATCAAAAATTAGTTTCATCAAATGAGACTCAA